GCCACGGGCTCGTCACGGCGGGGGCGGAGCTTGGCCGGGTTGGCGCGGGTAACGCGGGCCGGCAGCGCGGCGGGACCCGGCTGGGCGATACTCCCCCTCCCTCACCGCCTGCATTTTTCACGTTTTTCACCCGGGAAAAAAAAAAAAAAAAAAAAGAAGCGAGAAAAGCGCTGCACACCACGTCAGTCAGCAGAAGGTCTTGTTGCTCAGAATGAAAAACCGACCCGCGGTGCCTGCGGGCATTAACCGGCCTGAAAACTCAACCCGGGACACCCCAGTAACCCAGTTCCTCCCCGGTGTTCCCGGGGTCTGTCGGTGCGTCCGGGAGAACCCCGAGGCAAACTCTTCGGCCTGCGATTCAGAAACCGCGGTTGTTTGTAGCGGGAAAGGAAAACACGATGCCAACTCCTAATTAAAAGAAGAAAATGACTGTGTTGCATTTCTGTAATGGAACCAGCCTGCTGAGAAACAGAACCGTGGCCGGATACCAGTGGCGGTTCGGTCTAAGAGAAGAGCACTAGGTAGTTAATTTTCTTTCAGATGCTGAACTTCCCCTCATTGGATGCTACTGCAGCACTTTCCATATTCCTGCTGAGGAACAGCAGCCAAGAACCAGGGCTCCAAACCCTTCAGGCACTGCATCTGCACATGACCCTGACACAGCACTCCCGAGGGTTACTGGCCGGACTTTTGGCTTGGCAGCATTTGGGTTTTTCTGTGTATCAAGTTACAGCAAATTCTATAGCAACAATATTGAATTAACACAGAAAGAAACCGATCATCTTACTTGGGACTAAAACTAGTTCATTTCATTCCAGGGAGGGAACCTCTCTCGCATCGCAATTTAAATTAAGAGTTTTGGGGAGTTTATTTTCCCCATCAACTGAAGTACGAAATCAACATTTTAAAAAACGTAATTGAAACTAAACATTTACTCTTTCCGTATTCTAAAACGAATAGCTTCCTCCCCCATCTAAAGACAGACACCAAAAACCAATGCATTTGTCTAAAAAGGTGAGATGCCACAGCACTCATTACAAAACAGGCTTTTGCCAAGCAGTTTTGTTGATGTATAACTGCATTTCCGCTAACATAAAAAAAGCCCGTAGGCTTTGGGGTGCAGCAAACCCCTCAGCCTAGTAAAAAGAAGATGCAGAGCAATCACCTCTCGTTTCTGCAATACTTGACACAGACCTGCCATTCACCTCTCGCCTGCCCTGCATTATCCCGCTTGGAGGTAAACACCTTTTCTAAGCAACTGCCTTTTCCCCAGCAGCATCTTCCATAATGAGCGAGAAAACCCAAACTTCCTCTGAAACCGCCCAAACCTCTGGGCTGGCCACGGTTTTCCTTTTCCACCGACCCTGTTGTTTCCCTGCGCAGACACCACCTGGCACGAGGAGCGGAGGATTTCTGCCTTGCCAGGCAGCAAAGAAACCTTCCCTGAGTTTTACTCGCCAAGTAACCAGGTGCGTTGCAGCAGACACGCACCAAGCACCAGAACTCGCCAGAAACCCTCGCGTTGGGCATAAGGAGATTCTGGCCCTCACCAAGAAAAAAACCCCAACCAAACCCAGGTTCTCCCGCAAAACACGAGAGTTCTTTATTTCAAATTTTTCCATCCTTACATATACAAACTCAGGGAAAGACAGCGATTTGCTTCCGAGGAGGACGTTTGACGTGTCCTGACGCCTCAGCCGGTTCTTTGCAAGTCAAGGGGACAAGCCAGAGCCCTCCGGGATGGGGAGCCTGCAGGAGTAGCACATGCCAGGCACCGGGACGTCATTATTTGGTATTTGACCTACGCTCATGGATTATTTCTGATCTCGGCCTAGCTCTAACAATATTTCTGTTGCAGAGAGGAGCTCCGAACTTTTGCGAGGGGTGGAAAAGCTCATTTTAAACCAAGCAGAAGCCGAGCTGGAGAGGCGCCGGCCTCTTACCGGCTGGCGGCGGGGTGAGAACCGGCCACTCGGACCCGCCTTGCGCGTTGCTGGAAGCGGAACGAGACGCCGGTACAGCAGGACCGCGGAGCCCCACCGGCGGCGGGAAACGGCCGCTCGCCCGGAGCGTCCCCGGGCGGAACAGCAGCGGGGATGGGCGGAGAGCGCCCAAGAGGAAGCTCCGCCCCCGCCCCGCCCCTCGCGGGCAGAGCGCAGG